TGAGAGAGGACCATCCCAACTTCCCACAGCCTGGAAAACCGTGGCCGAGGCGGAAGGCAGTCCAGCAGTTCGACATGCAGCAACATACCGGTGGCTTTTGTCAAGCTGCTCATTAGCTTCTCTGCATTGAGACGCTGAGATGCGAGTGGCGAGTGCGCAAAGGCAGGATGCAAACATGGCAATGTAGGTCAGCACATCCCATTTGGCTGCAGCAATCTGACCCGCGTTTCACATTGTAAATGTTGGCGGACATCCATACTTTCAAAGTGAGAAATTCAACAACCTCCCTGTTGTCATGTTTCGAAAACGCAACAAATAGACACAAGGGAGCATGTGGCGCTTTTTTTTTTTTTTAATGCCGTGTTTTTTGATTTTGTATCAAACAACCATCTGGGCTGTAAATCAATCCTCTCGGTGGCTGGGAAGCTGAAATTTGGATTTACTGCCGTCTGGAAGATTTGACAAGTTTTCCTTTTGACTCCTGTATACGACCGTGATTATTAACTTCCTTATTCATCTATTCTGAGAGCAGCCTCGAAGAAAGGGATTATATCACGTGGAAATGTGACCAATATGGTACACCGTGAACTTGCCAATGGCAGTGTAATCGGTGCGCAACTCTGAAAAGCATTTCCAGCAAAATGATAAATGACTGAATACTCATTGTGTAAAATGCCAAAATTACAGATCGAAAAGCTCCCCCCCCGCCGCCAACACCACCACCAATAGTTTTGTTGTTTTAATGACCCTTTCCCACAGCAGTCTTTTCGACATCGTAAAACAGCAAAATGTAGGACAGATTTTCAGCAAGATGGTGAGAAACGTCCAATCCAATTTCCACAGAAGTCTCTTTTTTTTCAGCGCGACAGTCACTTTTATGCAGCAGTCCTGCAAAAGAGTTGCAAGAGCATTTCTAGACTGCCTTTGTGTGCGCTTTTTACACAGCCACACTGCTAATTAGAGAGGTGTGCTTACGTTTGCTCCCTCCACGAGGATGACCGATAAACTACTTCTTGGACAGTGACATAACAAGATGCTTTTTTTTGGAAATACAAACTCAACGTCGAGGTTAGCGTGTCAGCTTGGCCCTGGGCCTGCGTTCCAGCTTCTCATTTGGCCTATTTGCTAAATTAATCGCCCACCACTGATGTAAAGTGCCGTGATGTGATATGTGTGTGATATATGTGTGTGTGTGTGTGTGTGTGTGCATCTGAAGAGCTTTTATAAGAGTCGTCACAATACTCACGTGCAAAGGATTGACTGGTCCTCACGATCTGTTGGGTTAAGAAAAGAAAAGGGGTCACCATCTCTCTCTATTTTGCACAATTTTGCAACAAGTTGTTGGATGCAAAACGCAAACAGACAAAAGAGTGACTAACATAAGAGCAAAGGAGACGGTTGGAGTCAAACTTGTCCAGGTCTTGCAGCATAACTAGCATTCAGTGACACACAGAGCAGCAAGTCGAGGTCTTTCGCCTTTCACTTTTCATGACGGGATTCATTTGACTGACTGAGGTGGGCGGTGGCTAAAGCTTCCTGCCGAAAGCACGTGGCGACAACGCCGTCATCTAAATCTGTTGCCGTACTTTTGAATGAGTCACACTTGAACTCTGAATCACGCTGCTGCATTTGTAGCAACAATCGGCACACGTTGTACTCGATGTCATTTAGTTCTTAGTGCCAACATGTTCGATCCACTGGTGGGCTGTTAAAGGTTCGAACAAAGTCTTGAGGACTCAACACTGCAGCAAGCATTAATCTTATATAACCGAATCTAATACGACCCCCCTCTGCTCAAGGAAGTGCCTCCATCACATCCACAACCACAGCCCACACTTGAGTGCTCACCAAACCCACTTCCCGCCTTTTTCCAGCCCCCCCAAAACTGAACCAGATCATGAAAAGCCTCGTGTAAAACAACGACAGCTGTCAAGAACTGCAGTCAACATGTTTGCGCTACAGTCGGTCTGCTCCTGTGCCCCGCGAAAAAGTACATCGCATCAACAAAACCACGGCCTTCGAGAAGTTTCCGGTGGAACAAAATTGTGCGCACTGAGCTTTGCCGCATGTTTTAATAGTCTGCGAATTCTTAAAATGAATGGACTAGTTTGTCTGAGATCTAATAGTCTACTTTACATCAGCCTAAAACCTTGCAAGGAAGATTTTTTTGGGGGGGTGGGGGTAAATGATTACATGTGAAGCAGTTGCTTTTCTTAGATGGGGGGCGGGGGGGAAGAGAGTCTCAGAGATTTATCTCCCCCAGCATATAATAGGCACCAAAATGCAGCCAGTCTCCTCTTGATTCCAAAATAAACTTGCAACCCGACTGAGGTTTGCTACGTAACACTTCAAACCTTCATTATTGGGCTTGCTATGCAGGCTGATGTCAGAGTCGGAATTGTGGACGAGCTGACCTCATCTTTGGACTGTCCAATTAGAACCATTTCTTCCCTTCAACAAAGTTGTAAAGTTGAACTTTGGTTCGCGGAAAAGGCTCCGGCAACACGGGTTTGATAAACTGCAGCCATTACAAAGGTGCCAGTCGAGTTTAATTTCTCTCCAAAGAGTCGAGTGGGCTTCTTTTCTCCTCCTCCTTCCTTCAGTGTTTGCTGGAATTCTTGCGGCAGGAAGCGAGAAGCTTTTTCGTTTCCTGTCAGATAAATTCAGAAGCACCTCTGCATACTTTCAACGAAATGCTGACAAAGCCACCGCGCTCGTCATCTTACACCTTCTGAGACGCTGCTGCTGCTGCGGTGTCTATTTGCAGGAGTCGCCGACTTGAATCAAGTTTACGAATGAGGTCATCCTTGCTGAATCGGCATTTGGAAAACTGGACTTGTGTTTGAGCTCCGCGTTAAAACCAGCCTGGGAGGAAGCATGAGGGAATTAACAGGTGAGGGTGCCTGGCAATAAATAAGATACGTTTTAGATTCCTTGGAGGATAGTTTCATGTAGCTCTTTGTGTATTTTAATGCCTATAAAGTCAACCTGGCCCACCTTGACCCACTTGGCAGCTCTTGGTTAGCTCATATTTTCCCAGGATGCTATAGCGGCAAAGCATGGGTCAAAGAAACATTTTCTTTCCTTCCAAAAGCTCATAACTTCCCTTACTAAATCTCTCTTTCCCTTGTGCTTTCCTTCTCTGTCGGTGGCCCTCGTTTCCCCTCTCCCCCCACCTCACTTCTCCGCCAATAGAACGTCTGCACATATGACGCCAAGCCAGATGACTAAAACCTCACCGAGCACCAGAAAAAAAAAAAAAAGCATAATTTCATCACCTCATCAGAAGCTGTTGCTGCACTGTAACACGTCACAGCCGCTCGCTTCGATGTAAAGGAAGTGATGCAAAGACAGAGAGGAAATTATGGAAATGAGACAGCGTAGTCATTTATCATTCAAGGTGTTAAGCGAAGACTGTGGGAACATATTTCTGTCGTGTCGGAAGGGAGAATAGCCCAATACCAAACTAGATGCTCAACACTCGAAAGCCGAATTAAACAGATCATGAAAGGTGTCACGGAAGCACTTGAGTTCACATTGGTTGGAGGGACCGGCATGGAGTCTGGAAAATTAATGCGCGTTCCACGTGGATAGATTGCATCTTGGGTGTAAAAGATTCATACATAGCCAACATGAATGCCACTTTGGTTCATAATGTGTCGTGGATGGCAGGGTTCCTTCAGCTGCTAATAATTTATTCCCAAAGGGGATTAAGCAACCTTAATTCTTCACATTCCAGAGCATTCCCACTCTCCTTGCACCTCAATCAAAGTCCAATTGATTTCCATTTATCAAACTTGCCGAGAAAAAAAAAGTACATCTGCAGCACCCCTCTTGCAGCACGGCTTCAACAAAAATATGTAAACAACAAAATAAACAAGTGGGGGCCCCCCCCCCTTTGTTGTCCTTGCCAACTAGATGGGTGTAAAACGTTTCTTCCACGCTGCTGCGCAAGCTCACAATTTGCTTGATAAAAGAAGTCGTAAAATGCAGTTGAATGCAGCCGCCGGGTCTATCACCGTGGTAACCACTTCACACGCATCAGAAATCCCGAGCACCCAAACTCCTCATCTCGATTAGATTTGGTGACATTTAGCCACAGCCGCACACCCGGCGGCACTCTTCTCTCCCTTGTTAGAACAAAACAAGATGAAGGGATCCTTTGGGCTCTTCTACAAAAGGGATTTCCACCTTGAGGCCGTTTCCTTTGTCTCTTAATCAACAATGTCTGAATCGATTTTGTGGCAAACTTTTGGAAGAGAGTTTAAATTGGGATCCGCAGTTTAACGCACTGATGTTGTTTTTTTGAAAATGACAAAATGATCATGCTCCGAATCCGTTTTTGAAGAATGCAATTTACTTTTAAGCAACCACAATCATTGCGGAGCAGTTTTGTTTATTATAGCCGCTAAAAGCAGAGACGCTCCAAATGACATCATCAAATGGTTGCGGTTAATGCTCATAACTATTTGGCATCGTTGCGGACCTCTTGCTTAAGGATAATAAGCTTTTGAGGTAAAACTATGCGGGTTTCAGTACACCGACGGTGGCTTTTGGTAACCGCCGAATGACTAAGCATTAGTCATTTCCACGCTGTCGGACCAGCTGCCAGCTTGGCATTCAAAGGCATGCGCGAGCTGACGAGGAGCGCGGCGGACAACCCCGACAGAGCGAGCTGACTGGCCATTTGTGTGGACCGATCTATGCGTGCGCGCTGGAATTCAGCAGGCGCCATCAGCACCGGGGGCCTGCGGGGTGCAGAGCGGGTGGGCGGGCGGCATTTTCGGCAGGTTGTGAATTTTCGGGGAAATGAGAAGCAGGTGTGCAGGAGACAAAACGTCGACCAATTAGTCTGGTTTTATGGCTTTTAGCTAGCGATGGCGTTTCATCAACAACCCGTTGCCCCTCATAATGAAGCTTTTTTTTTTCTGTGCCAATCAGACACATGAAAATGTTTCCGCATAACAATGCCGACTGTTGAGCGGCATCATTCCGCTTGATGAACTTGTGAACAAAAGGGAAGACATGAGCGTGAAATTTCCAACACGGGAGGAATGTGGCGCTCTTTCAAGAGGTGACGGACCAGAGACCAAACAACCCGTGTGGTGGGGGTGGGGGGGAGGGGTAAGAAAACCTGGTCAGCCGCTGACATACTTGCGGATGAAATCCTCAGGTTGTTTCTGCGTTGGGACGAGTGACGGCAGTTGGCAGCTGAGATCACAGACCAAAATAGTTTGTCATCAGGAGCTAGTGATCGTCCACGCCCTCGCAGAAAGGAGCACAGTGAGTTAGAGACGACGACCCCCCCCCCCCCGGCCCTTTTG